AAAATATATATATTATTTTTTTTTTGTTAAATACATTTTTGAACAATTTACACAATGAATTAATTGACCTTTTTCATATTTCTGATATATTAATATTTCACATTTATTAAATATATCAATCACTTTTTTTTTATAATCAATAATTAATATATAATTATCTACTCGATAGTATTCAAAATTTTTTTGATTTTGATTTGATATATAATATATAAAAAATTTGTCTGCAATTTGAAATTGCATCTCATAATCTGCAAACAACAATATATTTTGTTCAAAGCATTGAGTATATAATTTTTCAAAATTGTCAATTTCAAATTTACTTATTACAGATATTTTAATTTTTTTTAATCAATAAAGGATTTTTGAACGTATTTAAATACAAAAAAAAATATTTATTAAATAATATATATAATAATAAAAAATAAAATTCTATATAATAATAAAGTAACAATATAATAATTAATCTATTTTAATTTTTTTGTTTAAATTATTTGTTTCTGTATCTTTACGTTTACCTAAAACAACTGACTGTGCTAAATATTTTGAATGAATTTTTACCTTTTCTTGTAAGTTTTTTTCTAAACTATTAATATCTTTAGATAATAAAATATTTTCAGGTAGATCAAAATCTCAGTTTTCGTTATATACCTAGAAGCTATTTTTCTCATAGTTTATATCACAGATTATACCACCAAGAACAAAATTCATATCAATTTCTCTTTTTAAATAAACATTTCCTTTTTCTTCATACAAGTTTTTAAAATCCTCATCATATACATATTCTTTAGCCTCTTCTAAATTAAAATTTAAACTTTTTTCAAATTTAACATTAAATTTGCCTTCAATAAATAATTGCATATTTCTAGGTTGACATTCTTCACTAGATTTAATAGTAAATTTTACTTGACCATCATTATCAAAATCTCCATTAAGATAGATAATATATCCATATGTATATAGTTTTGATTTTGAAAATCATCTGTAAATAGCTTTTCTTTTATCAGAACTAATACTAAAAATGTCACTAAATATATATTCAAATGAATTTTGTGCTGTAATTATATTGAATTTTTCTACTAAATTTATAGGAGGTAGTCTCTTTCTGCTAATTTCACAATCATCATTTTCTGTTGCCTTAAGGAGATCTTCAAAATTCCATGACTCTTTCTTGAGTTCTTGAGTAAGTATACATTCTTGATTATAATATTCATTTATATATTTATCATCTTTAGATTTAATACAAATTTTCTTTTTAATTAAATTTTTTTCAGGAAAATTTGTTAATGCTAATGCTAATCTTTTAGATGTTTCTGATTTTCCACTTCTAGAAGCACCATAAAGATAAATATTTTTTGGATAATATTTTTTGTTAGATATAAATTTAAGAGTATTTTTCAATTCTTCTCGATCTTTTGTGATCATTTTGAGAGATGCAGGATTATCATACTATAATAATGGAATAAATTCAGGATTCTGTAATGTTTGATTATATGTAAATCCTCTATCACATAATTTAGTTTTTCTAATAATATCATCTAGTCTAGCATTGTTAATCTTGTCAACTGTTTCATCTGAACTTCCAACTATAAAACAGTGTTTTCTAAAAATAAATGATCCTGATCCATTTTCATCTAATTGTTCCTTTCTTTGTTGTTTACAACAGTTATCATTGCATAATTTGCATTTTCCTAATTCTAATTTAAAAAAATCACATTGGCAATATTTCCCTTTATCTGGCTTGTGATGAATCTTGCATCGTCCATATAGTTTCAAGGTATAATTTTCAGCATCTTGAGAAGTTTCACGTATTAAAATACCAGGAGGAAATGAAATTTTCTCATCTTTTAAAAGTTTTTTTATATTAATCATTGTCATTTGGTAACTAAATTGTAAAAAGATATGTGCATGTAATCTTAATTGCATTGTTCTTTCAAACTTTGAAACACTTCTAGTCAATATATTTCCAAAATTTTCATATTCTTGTTAGTTTCTAGGAAAACACTATTGACAATTGATATTCTGTTCTATACAATTTAAACAAACTATATAATTACAACGTGCAAGTTTACAACATTGATTATAAGTCTCTCCTTTACATCATCAATGATCTTTTTTGCAAAGTAGACATTTTGGTAATTCTTCTGTTAGTTCAAATTCTTGCTCACGTCTTTTTCTTTCTTTATCATCTATTCGATTTTTCTTTAAACATTGATATTTTTCATTACAATTAATGCAATGAAATATTGTCAACATAGTAAAACAAAATTTAATACTTATTCCCATTTTTTTTATTTTTAAAATTAATTATTAATTTATATAAATAAAATTCTACTTGATATATTATATACTAAGTAGAGATGATATCTTTATTAAAATTAATATTTGTAATATGTTTACATGATTTAATATAATATGAAATATATGTTTTTGCTCTAGATATACTGATAATCGGATGATATTTATCAATATCAAAAAATTTTATATTTCTAAAATGAAAAATTTTATCAATTTTAAAATATGCATGAATATTATTATCAATAGTTATTATGATATATTCAATTATCTTTCTTCTTTTTTGATCGAGTAATTCTCGTAGATGTTTAGAATATTTTTCTGTTTCAATTCACAGTTACAATAAACAACATGATAATACTGACCCTTAAACATCTGATAATAATATAATTAATTTAATTTATTAATAAAAACAAAAAACAATAATTTCCTACCTTGTAATATTTTTTTTTGAAAGCTAGTCGAAGACACACTTTCATGAAAGCCGACTCGAAGAGTGTTGCTTTCGGGCATCAAAAATTTGATGATTGATTTTGTGGGCGAATTCGGGTGTTTATATAGATTTTTTTTTTATTATAGAATGTTCTAGATTTTTTTTTAATTAAATTTAATATACCCGATACTATTTAAGATACATTAAGTTAATCTATACGTATTAAATAATCATTAATTTATACTATGTATATATAAGATTAGCTAATTTCGCTTTATTACATACGTACATAAATAAATATAATATTATCTAGTCTTTAAAAAAAACATTTATATTTATAAATCTGAATCATTATGATAAAATTTGTAATTTTTTCTGTTTCAATAAAATTCTTAAATTCAAACAAGATTTGAATTAGTAATGAATTCAAAGTTTCATTATTTTTAATTAATTGCGCTAAAATAAATAATTGACTTCTCTAATCACTATGACATGCCATATTTTTTTTTGAATGTAAAAAAAAATTAAAATATTAATCATCATTGAGGATCTCAACTGAATAAAGAGGTTTACTAACTAAAAATAATTCAAAATTTAATTTAGCCGATTAGACTATTAAGACTGATCAATATGATGTATACCTACAGTTGTTAATTCTGAATGTTTTAGAAAATTTGAAAGTTGATTGTAAAAATTATCTTAGTTTTAAATAATACATTAGCTAAAAAATAAATACCTTTAGGGTGCATTTGATATTTTTTTATGTGATAATAATTTTGTTCGTGTATATAGAATTCGAGTGTATTGGTAAGTTTCATCTTCATTATCATTATTATCATATTCATTTTCCATGATTTTATTCCATTTGCGAAGTTTATCATAAACTTCGTAAGTATAAGGCCATTTTTATGAATCTGAATCCATACATTGTTTAGCGAATTTAATATAGCAGTTAGGAATTCTAAAAGCAAATTCTGGTAGCAGTCCTTTGTAAATCTTTATTGCAAGACTAATATCAAATTCACAACTATCAAAAGGTCTTTGTTTAATTGATATCTCTGACATGATAACTCCAAAGCCATAAATATGTAATTTTTTTATCGGATAAAACTTCTAGTGACTCCATAAATATCACTTGATGTATTTTCATTATTCGAGACAATCCATAAGATTGTATTTTTTCATTTGTCGATCTTGTAAAATATTGTCACTGTGAAGGTCTGAATATAAGTAAGAAATTGTTCATTTTAAAATATACAGTTGTTTTTAATATTGTACCAATTTTATAATAGTGAAATATTTTTAAATATCAAGTTAATCCGTAATTAGGATTACTTTTTTACATTTCATGTTATTTTATGTAAATTTTAGTAAATTAGATTTTTTGTAATTTTAGGGTTAGTGATGAAATAATGAAGACGTTTCTTACCAAAAATTTTATTTTTTTATTTTTATTTTTTTTTTTCATTAGAACGCAGAAAGTAGTTTAAACAAAATTTTCGAAAATTAATAAAAAAATGAATTTATTTATTTTCTAAAAATAATAAAAAATTTTATTCGAATTTTGAAAACGATATGTTGTTAGCCTTGCAATAAAAATTGCAAGTTACCAAGTCTCGCTATGTGGAAGCCAACATATCTCGAGACTCATTAGTGAGGAACATATTCATAGGCACCAACCCGTTCCAAAACGATCTTCATCCGTGTGGATTGAACAATAGCCTCAACAGGGTAAGGTGTAAGTTATACCCTAGGTCAGGCTCAGGGTAGTGCTCTCCCCGTTACCTTTCACAAGGATCGCCCGCAATCAAATCGGAACGACCAGACCGTCTACAGCTATATGTGGTCAATACCACATGAAATTCAGAACCGTCCCGTACAATATGCCCTGGAATACCTAGCTTCGGAGAATGAATCTCCTAATAGTCCCAACTGCCATGAAGAGGTGTATTCCTTAGTTGGGGTAGATACAAACCCAGAATAAATTAAAACATTGTAACATCATAGACAACGATGTAACGATGATGCAAATATAACATGCTTCACAAATTCGTTATTACACCCTAGAAATAAAGAAAGAAAGTTAGTTACTAGTAAAAAAAACATTAAACATAGAATAAAAGAACTCCAGAACCGAAGAACATCAGTCATGAATATTTCAAACCTAAAGAAAAGAAAAGACAGAGATTAATAAGACAAAACAAAAGTGAAAGATAGAAGAAAAAATTATCCAAAGACTTATACTTAAACAATAATTCAAAAAAAAAAAAGATTTACCGAAAGAAAGACCGAACATCTCAAAGAACCTACAGTAAAAAGAAAAAAAAACGTTAGTTGAATATATTTACAAGAAAAACAAGAACTACAGATTTTTCATCATTTTAAATTTATCTTCGCAGACTAAATTCAACATTGGAATAACCTAAATGGAAAAGACCTACTGAAATTAAAAATCCGTAACGAAAAAAAAAAACACCAAAGTAGAAAAGAAAAGAATAACGTAATTACAAAAAACATACCAAAATTACAAGAGACTAAAGATCTACAAAACAATGAACAACGAAAACACCAAAGAACGACTAAAGAGAGAATGAGAAACATAAATAAAAAAAACTTACTGAAATTGTAAAAGACTTACCGAAGATTCACAATCAATAAAAAAGTTCCCAAAGCGACGAAAAAGTTGATTAAATCTCCAAATACAAAAAACTCAAACCAACAACAATGTTGATTCTAACGATAATGACATAACAACTATATACTCTCAAATTCCAAAGAACATAAAAACGAAAAAGTAAACAAAACTGAAGAACAAAAAATTAAATATCAATTTGAAAATAACTATAATATCGATGAGCTTAAAATTTTAATTAATGAAGGAAAATATG